CAATTGGCTGCTTGTTTTGGTGTCAGAATATTCTTCAAACTTCCAGAACACGGCCACACAGCCCGGAAGACCCACACCAGCCATCGTATGCCGGCCGTGAAAGCCTTCGACAATACATATCTTTGTATTCTTTACCTCAGATACATATAGGAACCCAGCATTGCTCCAGATATTTTAAACTACAGTTCTCAGTATCCATCAACATTGGTGATAGAACATTGAGCCACACTAAGAAGGGCGACCCACAGTGTTCTAAAAATAGGCCCCACATCTAGTTTTGAATTATACTGGTTAGTTTTAAACAAAAGCCAACATGTTTGTCTAAGCAGAACTCAAGCAGGTAGTGCACATCTTAGCATGGAAATAAGTATTGATAGAAAACTTTATCATGGAACAAAACAGTATAACAAACCCATTTTTAATATTAAAAAGGCAGAAAAATGCAAGCATTATAGCCACTTTGTTTTTGTAGTAAGATGTTAGGAATGCATGAGATAATTATGACGAAATTTCCTTTGGCAAAAAATAACATCTCAGATACTCATTCCTTTAATATTCATTAACACAGAATACAAAGAAACTTCACTAAAAATATACCAGTGCTAGTGTTGGCTGAATAATTCAGTTATATGGTTATATCATCTTTTTTCCTTCTGAATTAATTTCTAGTAGGTATGATTCCAAACAGAAGTTTACAGGCAGTCTTCACTTAATGGCAACTGGGACTGGAATTTCTGTCACTAAGTGATGCAGTCGTAAAGCACAATGTCATGCAACCACATTGCTTAGCGACAGCAATCCCGGCAGTCCTGTTGCCATTTTAAGCAAGGATCGTGGCTCATTAAGCGAGGACCTCCTTGCAACTTCCTGATGGCTTCCAACAACCAGAGTCAGTGGGGAAGCCGGCAGGAAGTTTCAAGTCCCAAGCAGCTTGCAAGTAAGCCAGCAGGCAGGTAAGTAGCTGCTGTTTGCGTGGGTGGCTGCAGCAGCACATGCAATTTCAGGCCCAGGGGTGGCTGCTGCTGGGTGGGGGAGACTTATCAGAGTGACTTGCAACCTTCCCTGCTTCTCCCCTATTGACTTTGGTTGTGAGAAGCCAGCAGGGAAGGTTGTGAATGATGATCACATGACTACAGGTGCTGAACCATCCTAAGTGCGAGGGGGTTGCCAAGCACCCAGATTGCAATCATGTGGTCACGGGAGTGGTGTGACAGCCAGAACTTCTAAGACTGGTTGTAAGTACCACTCGTTCAGTGCCAGCACAACTTCAGTCACTGAACGAGTGGTTGCTAAGCGAGGACTACCTACATGCATGCCTGTTAGCAATAAGTGCCTTGTTGGGCACCGTAAGTAATTTTTACCTATGGCACCAAGCTACAATATTATGACCAAGTGTAGCCGATAACTGCATTCATCCAGTCTTCCATATCAAGTTGTAAGAATAAACCACGGTCCTCAAGCAATCATTTCTTCCTTAATATGTAGAGTGTAACATATTCTTTCATGTTAGAATCAAATCATAGTTTATTTTGAATTGTTTAACTACAGCTTGAGCTCTAACTTGGAAGACTTGAATACAACCAATGTGTTTGAAGAAATTAATTCATATCTCCACAATCCAAAATCTTCAAAAGTCTTATGCCACAATGATTTCTTGTTGAAATTATATTTTATAGAATTATACCTTTTAAGTTCATTTTTTTTTTTATTTTTGAATATCATACAATTTTAGGATCACATTGTAAAGATTTCTGAAGATAAGCTGTTTCTTGCAAGCTGGAATTCTACATTTTTTTTAAAAGGTAGAAAAAATGAAACTCTAAATGAAACTTCACAATTTTGTATAATAGCAGCTGCCTTTAAATAAAGTTGTTAGCTAAACAAATCTAGAATATAACCTCCAAAATAATAAGCAGCCCTTGATAAGAATCTGGTGTTGGCATTAACATTTTCAGAAAATGACATCATCCTCTTGCTTTAAATGAGCACTTTCTTATCAAAATAACTTTTAAGATACAGGAAGAGTAGATGTATGAAAGGCTAGTGACTATAATGCAAGAATCCCTATAGAAGTTTTTGTTCCATTAATAAAGAAATCATGAAGAAAGAAATTGTGTGCGGCCACACCCATCTGAAACAGAAGACACAATGAAGATTCAAGTAATTATTATTTACAAGTTTCAACAAAATATATTATATAAGTTAGTATTATGATTCTTTCAGGTGAGCCAAAAACTATAAAAATCATAGTTGGTGCCTGTTCAAACTGCACAGCATTTTCAAATAAAAGCAGGGCTCCACCCAACCAGTGCTGTCCTTAGGCTTTCAAAGATAAAATTAAATCACCTATACTGATCAATGACTCACAGGGTCTAAACCATGCATTATGAATGAATAGGTATCCAGTAGCAACATCTGCAACAGAATTGTCAAATCTGTAGGCAAATATGAGATTTCTACAATATGAACACTGGTTCAAAAATCAGGCTATGATATAGGTGGAATTCCACAAATGCACCACTTTAACACTACCACTTGAGAAAAAAGGCTATAAAATCAATAGATTTCCTTCCAGAAATATTATGAACTAAAATACAGACAAATTATTTCTTAGAAAACAGTTCCAAACATCCTCAGAGACAGATGTTATTTCCTTCCAGATTTATTTTTCCATATTGCTTTTAATCACTGTAGCCCATTCTTGTTTAAAGAACATATTATAAATCATGCAGTATTAATTTTAAAACAGAAAAAACATATATAAGAGGGGCAAAAAGCATATGAGCTGAATAACCATAAATGCTCAAGACATACCCATCTTCATGAAAAAGTGAGCTTAATCAATGCAATGCCAAGTAAGAAATCTTTTCCA